AAAATTGAGGAGGCGATAAACGACTGGAGTATCAATTGGCTTTATTTACCGGAACGCGCTATTATTGTTAATAAGGTTATCTTTGCTAGAATAATGTATTTATTGTATGTTACTAGCTTAAGGACTGAGGACATAAAACAGATTGAGTCAAAAGTTTTTAAATTCTTATGGCATAATACGTTCGAACCTCTGAGCCGTAAGATAATGAAAAATAGTGTAAATAACGGAGGTTGGAATATTTGGGATGTGAAGGGGTTGGAATGTTCGCTCCAGCTTACTAATATGTTAAATAATTTGAAAAAGCAAATGCACCCGCTTACTTATGTAATTGAATATGTCCTAGGGCCGATCACAAGACGTATAACTCGATCAGTGGCGAGCAAACCTTTTTTAATAAATGGAAATAAAAGGTATCGGAAATGGAGAGATTATTTCCGTATTGTTGTTGACAAAAATCCGCAGTTTATTAATGACAATAGAAAAATTAAACCCGGTCATGTTTATCGTGATATACATAAGCAATATATTAGTGCAAATATGTTAGATAATACCTACCCATGGGATGAAATTTGGAAAAATATAAGCTCACTCCCGGCCGAGTGGCAGGAAGTTTCTTGGCGGATAGTTCAGAATGTAGTAATGACGAAACACTATCTTAATACGTATATGAGGCTTGTGGATTCCCGGTGCTCACGATGTAAAAGGGAAGAAAATATAATACATGTGTTTTATGAATGTGAAATTGCTAAGAAGGTCAGATATTGGATTCAGAAAGTTTGGAAAACAAAAATAACTTGGGATAATGTTAAATATCATATCAAATATATATGTAGAAACCAAAATAGATACATGATTAATTGGTTTATTGGTCTAGTTAAAAAGGTATTGTGGAAGGCGCGCTGTGTGTTAACGTTTGAGCAAAAATTGTGGAGCGCGTCTTTAACTGTTTGTAAAATAAAGCAGGAAGCGATTGTTAAGATCAGAAGTGACATGGAGAATATGTCTCACGATGAATTTACTAAGAGTTATAGAGGAGTTATTGATGTTATTCGGAGAGAAGAACATGGGAACATATTGTTTAATGATGATTGGAGTTCGTGAATAGTTTTTATGATTCTATGTTAATACTTCTGTTTGGAGCTTTTATATTTATTTTTCTGTGTGATTTTTCTTTATGATGACATGTTTTATAATTTTGCTGTTTTTCGAATTTAGTTTTTATTTATTTGTCTTATAATGTTCTGGTGATGCTTCATATTATATAGAAGCTGTTTTTGAAATGTAAATTTATGGGATTACTATTTTGTTTGTTTGTATATTATAATTCATATTATGTAGTTTGGTTTATATGAAAATTGTATTTTATGATGTATTTTTATCGTTGTTCAAATTTATGCTTTTATGTAACGAAAAAGTATTGTCGGTTTTCATCTTTTGTACTTTACTAACATTATTATTGTCGGTTTAACAAAGTGATGTATTACCTATTGTTTGTGTAAAGGGGAAAAAAGGAAAAGGGTAGTGCTGTGCGGAGGCCATAAGGCGGGCACCGAGGGCCTCTGCTTGGTTTTTGTAATGAGAATCAAACTTTAATAAACGTGAAATTTTGGTTTAAGTAGTGCATCTGGCTTTGGTTTGTTGTGCATCCGTTTAAGGGCCGACCAGTGGCCTAGCGGTCTTCGTACCCTGAACACTGGGAGTTCGGCGCGGTTCGGACCTCGCTCGGACGGGCTGGCCACGTGGAGTTTTCCGGGTTTTCTCCACGTCCCTAACGCCTGAATAGGGGCCAGTTTCCCTTAAAAGACCTCCCGGAAGGCACCCTCCCAGGCAGATCACCGAAGTGTTGGTCTGCCATAATCAATCAAACAAAGAATCTACAGTAGACCATCGATTAACCGTCGCATCGGTTAACCGACCGTCTAGTCCCCAAATCGATCGTTTTGAATAACATTTAAAATATTTCGAAAAAAATTATTCCTCCCGTCTTTTTGATGACTATAGGTATATTTTCGACTGAGACGTCACACTTGTTTGCATCTTCGCAGCATCTTACTTTCTTTTCTCTACCGTGGAGACAGTTAAGCGAAGTGTTGAAATTAAAAAATCGCCAAATATTTTCAGATGGCTGGCAATAATTTTGTGAAATATATTTTTCCACCTATAAAAGTGCCAACGAATAAACAAATAAATAATTAATTAATCAAATAACTGATTAATATTTGTAATTGTTATCAAAATTGTAAATTGTTCGAATTATGTAAAGAAAGTGATTTTCTGTTACGTCCACGGTAGCATTTTTTTTATTGGCTGGCATTATTTTGACGAGCGCACAAGTTAAAGAAGATTGCCAACGAAGTAGAGTAGACCAGCCGCCAGTAGCAACTGAAACGCAGCAAAACCAGAAATATTCAAACAGCAATGGCGTGCGGTCATTGGAAGCGGCGGATGCGCCGCTTTCCTTGTTTTTTCTAAAAAGTAAATACATATTGATTTTAATTATACGAAAATAATCGCGTAATATTTTATTATAACCGCATTACGTATCTTATTACAAATTTTTATACTACACGCGAAAAAAGATAAGATCGCTATTGTATATTCGAATATTAGTGGCAGAGTGGAAGCGCCGTATTGTCAGCATCCAAAAAGCCAGATTCGTGCACGCGCTTTACAGAACACCAACCTCATTCGGTTTAGCTGGCCGAAGCCTAGGACCTTGGGTGGAGGCTACATACGTATAACGCATCCAATTCTATCCGGGACCGGTTTCGGGCCTTTATCCGCCCGCCCGCTAGATATTTGGCCGCCCTCGCCCGATTACGTGAATCGCGAGTAGATTTATAACTTAACCCAACCGATAAGAATTTACCTGTGTGTTTTTACGATAGTTTTCTGTATAGTTGACGGGAGTTTAAAAATATCCGTTAAAATATTTGCTATTTTTATTTCGCTCTTCGATTTTATATTGCTCGCGGATTTCAACGTTAATCCAGTAATATTACGATTTTGTACGTCCCGTCTTCAAGGGGATGTAAAAAGAAACGTGTACAATTCTTGTATAATGTTAAAAAAATTAACTGCTACTTGGACAGCGTCATTTACAACTAAATTTAACGAACGAGAGAGATGAACTAGGTACAGAAAAGGCCCTAGAATTTAGATGCAATAAAGACAGACATTTTTCATTACAAAGCTATATTTAATGATAATTTTCTTTGAAAGTATATTCGTACAATTGAAGAATGTTTTGTACCGGGTATGTATATCCACCACACATTTTATTTCACCGAGTAAGTTTTTATAATTTTATTTTTAATTTTAGCCCTTATATCGTGGCTAGCGAATCGGAATGTTATTGCGATATTGAAGATTTATTTTAAAAAAGTTTTGGCTCGAGATCCTATAATGAAAAAGAAAACATTATTAAAAGAAAAAGGCCAATGCCTAAGTTAAAAAGTCCTTGCAATAGGCGTCCTCTTTGGTAGATCATCGATGTAGGCCTATGCGTTTTTGTATCCAAGTAAAATTTCGGCAACGAGTAGCCTAATGCTCCTATAGTGTTAGGTATCTATTTTTACTTTTTTCATTCATCTACCAAATACTTTTACAAAAATTATTTTATGATTTGAATTTGTAATAATATGAAACCCCAGAGGAGAGGAGGTTCCATATTAAAAGCACCAATGGGTCCGTATTTCACGCATCGCCATCTTGAATTAACTTGTGTCTGTCAAGACCAAACTTTAAAAAACTTGAATACCACACAGATTAATATGTACCCCCAAGTCTCTGGAACGGAATACGTGCACCAGTGAACCTACAACTACACGATTTATATTTTAGAAATAATTAAATTCACTTACCATTCAAAACTTTCGAATTTCGAAAAACACAAATATGCTAATTCACTACATACAACGGTTTAACTGAAGTGAAACGGGTTTTCATCTTTGCTATGGATGTCTGCCTAGTGCAGTTCAGCCACAATCCGCTACAGTTCGCCTTTATTATCAGTTTGAAATGAAGGGGTTCCATAATACCATCTTCTCCTCTACAACTAACGAGTAAAGTTTGTAGTAAGTCTGACCCCACTGAAGACATGACACGCGGCCTCTCTCTCACCCCTAGTTAAAGGTCATAATTTCTATGACACTTAAGAACCAAAATTTAACAATATTAATGTGTCAGACGGGAATAATCAAGGTTACGTTTTAGGCCATCTGCGGTGTCAAAATGTCGAGAAATGTAAATCTCCGAAACATCAGTTACTATATTTAATAGAGTTAAATTTTGTTATTAATTCATATGCCTTTGTGTCCTTATTATACAATTTATTGTATAAATGTCCTAGTAGACAAATAACAATCATATAAATGTCCTAGTAGTCGAGTGGATAAAACCACCGAACTCTGGTAGTTAGTTAGTGGGGGTTCGGGCATGGGCAACGGGTTGGCCACGTGAAGTTTTTCCGGGTTTTCTTCACGTTAGTAACACCTAAATAGAGTCCAGCTTCCCATAAAAGTCTTCCCGGTAAGCATCCCCTCGGCGTGCCGTGTTGCCCTAATCAAATAAACCAAACTAATTCTAACCAGCAATTATTTATTATGACATTGTCACAATGCCAGGCTGCAACTTTTCGTTCTCAATTCATGTAGTAGTGTCTTGCTCCTGTACTCCATAGTTTACCCGTTAGCAATAGAGTCGTGCCTGTTAGGAACGGTCTCTTTTCTATCGGAGAAGCGATATGGTGTCATTCGAATAGAAAAATTGAATAATACAAAGTTACCGGACAACATAAAATATGTTTTAAGCGGTTTTCCAGGGTGCAGAGTTTAAATGTATTAAGAAGAATCATTTCGGCAATTTGCAAAGGGTTTAGAACACGCAAGTAATGCATACACAAACAGTTCAATGCATAAATTTAGATTTGCAGAACTGTTAACTAATTTCAAAAATACAAAATAACGTTTAACTTTTGAAATAAATTTATTGTACGAGACTATTTACCGAATACATTTTGACATTGGTACGCAAACAGAGGAAAGAAATGCTAAAACAATAACTCAACTCCCTATTATAAGTTTAAAACCATTACTGTACTTGTTTGTCAAGTACAATTAATAAGAAAGGACTATGAAGATGGTAGCTAAAGTTTTCTTCCCTTATAAAATGAAAACACACAATTACAAGTGAATAGTTAAAGTTACAATCTGTTGACAAAAGCCATCAACATCATCAGCACGTAAAAATCTGAAAAATTTCATTACTTTCAAGATTAAGAATTAATAAATGTAAATCGAATCAAAATCTTACCAATCAAAATGTTAAGGAAGTGCAACAAAAACGTTGTAGACATTAACTGGAGTCTCCCTCAATTCGAAGTATTCATCTATATATTTGAGGGAAGAGAAAAATGGTTAAAAAGGTTCACATATATATTTAAAGTATAAAAAATGAAAAATTAAGATGGAAAATTGAAAATATTTAAATATATACAGTAGAACGTCGATTATCCGAAAGTCTATCATCCGTAACGTCAATCATCCGAAAGAATTCCAGTCGGCAAATTTAAATTTTCGCCAGTGCTATGGCGCTGCAATCTTTGGCTATGTCTTTGGGCTATTCAAATATTTTACGTTTTTGATACTAAATTAACTTCTGAAGTATAATTTTTTTATTGTTTTTATATTTGTCAATATATTTATTTTGTTTGTACAAAATAAAAAAATAATTTTTAACGATACAATAGTCTTTCGTTAGGCTTAACATCGACGAAAATTCAACGCGAAGCGACACGCAACGGAGAAAAATGTCAAGATGGGATAAATTAATATATTTTTCCGCACATAATTGGTTATCCGAAACATCGATCTTCCGAACAACTCCAGTCCCCAATTGATTCGGATAATCGACGCTCTACTGTATTGCTAAAGTAATGTCGAGGCATTAAAAATTGATTGAAGCCTTGAGGCAAGAATACGTTAACGGAGTTTTTCGAGTTTCTGGACAAAATAATCACTGTAAATTTCTGAATTTGCCACGTAATTAAGATAGGTCACGAGTGATAACTATACTAGAGGCTGTATACAAAAAAAAAATTATAGGGCAGATGATCTCCTGGTCACCTACTTGTGTAGAAATTCAACAAAGAAACATTTCTGCCTTAAGGCCTTCAACTATTCTCTACTTCCAGGCAAGAAAGAAGAAAGACTAAGCAAAAATACAAAAGAATTCTTACTTTCGAAAGCCATTGTTGACGCTTGTATTGGCATAACACTTTTTTCATACTTATTTCTATCAAATTTAACATCCTCGCGTATGAGGCAACGTCATCTTCGTCTACACTGTCAACGTCGACATCTACGTGGAACGAATAAAACTTTTTAAAAGCGTAAAAAAACAATGGAAAACCTCGAGAATTACCTACAGTCTTTCAGAATTAATTTCAGTTTCATCCCGTAAAATTCATCACTATAAAAACGACGACGCATAAATCTCAGCGTCAGAAGTAAGATGCCGCCCATTAACTCCGTAATGGTATTGAAGCTGTGAATCCAAGGATCCCAATAGAATTTATCGAATTTAAGTACCATGTGCGCCTCCATCGATCGTTCGACTATTTCCATAATAATTCCCCTGAGGTGGTACCTGTCTTTCGATATGATCTGTCGAAGTAGAGAAAACACAAGATGCAAATGTCCGAAAATTTAAGAGAAAATTATATATTTCTGGATGAAAAAAAGTTATTACCTGAACGTTTACGCTTAATCTCTGAAATTCGGGGGTCGAAGAAAGCCAAATAGAAAAATCACGTTTAAGGCGAGGAAATTCGTTCAACATAAATTGAAATCTTCTATTTTCATCACTTCTTTTATTCTAATGAGAAATTATTATTCTTTTTAAATCGTTTCTATTAAATATATGTAAAAACACTAAAGAAATTTTACCTGAAATTTTGCATACATTCTTGACTTTATGTCATCAATGTAATTACTGAAATCGTCTGCAAAGAGGAAAAAATATTAACACTAGGACTTGTTCCCGCATCACCGGAAAATAAGCCAGAAACGGAGGATCACGTCACTTCCTGTCCCACCCATTTTCTCAATCGTACGTACAATAAATATCAATTAAGAATAGAATATTCCGAAACAAATGAATTACAGTCGACCCCCCTATAACACGGTAGATACGTTCCGTTGTTTATGAATCCATTTTGTACGAGTCCTTGCCAATCACAGCCCGACACGTGTGAAGTTTACGGATTACGGCTGTTTGAAAGCTTTTCTTCCATAAAATTAATCGATTCCTAGACTAATTCGACTCAACATTTCGAAAATACGTATATTTTTTGGGGGGAATAATCCGTATAAACTATGCTATAAACAAAAAATTGTAGGATTACTTACCGAGTGTGCACCGTTCGACGTCGCCATTGCTTAGGCTTGTTTTCGTCGCGGAGCAGCGCACCAAACGGCGGCCGCGATTTCAGATAAGTTACTTTTCTGCGAAAACTTCGTTGAACTTTGGAGACATCATTAATATAAATAATTTTTATGGCAGTTGAATAAGAAATGTTTCTTTCACAAGAAATATATAAAATTAGTGCTGTATTAGACTTACGGTACTTAATTTACATACTGTACAGACGATAGTAAACTCAACTTACTCGCCTAAACTCTCTGTAGCGTGGCGCTGGACGGCGGAAAGTAGTTTGGCTGCCCGATGACGTTTTACCGAATTATAGGAGATTTTTTTACCACGTTTGTACGGAAACCGTCGCAATTTTTTTGCCGTCATATAGAAATCCGAACTATAGAAACCCGTGTTATAGAGAGGTCTACTGTACTAGACAGTAAAGGAAGGGAACTAAATGTAGTAATTTTCCCATTTCAGCTTAAATTTAACTATGAAATTTGTATTGTTTTTTGTAACGTGAATGGGTTTTACCATACTAACAACATGTAATTGTTCCGTTAATTGGTTCTACATACCGTAAGTACTTATCACTGTCAATCCAACTGCGTAACTACGATTAATTTGACAATAGTAACAACGTATTAACTTGCCGTCGAAAGAACAGTTACCCGTATTCCCGGAACAAATTGGATCATAAAAGTTTCTTACACAGCTTTCAAAAAAGATTACACATAAGTAGCAGGCATTCTCTCCAGTCTTTAGTGTTTGAAGCATACACAATGGACATGTCAAACGTACCTCATCACTAGAACTACTGTCAAAACTCTGCGAATCTTCGTATTCAGCTGGAAAGGATAATTGTTTTATTTATCCATAAAAACAATAGTGTGCAAGTTGCCACATACTTACAACTATCGTATGTAAAATCGCTACTTGATTGCTCTTCCATCGTTTAAAAAATGTCAGTAAAAACTGCTCCTAATTCAGCATAAAAAGCCTTTGATTTAACGTAAAACATCACCTTCTTCCATACTTATAAAAGTGTTGTTGAAGTGTTTATGCCACTGTACTAATATGCAAATATTGCCATCATCTATATTTATTAATTTGAATGTAAATTATTATTTCGTGAATAATTCCGAAAGATTTTACTTGCCGATTTATGTAATTTTGCAGAAATTATACCAGTATCTTTTTATTTTGTATTGTTTTTCCCACTTCGTTATTACACCGAAAACTTCGTGTTTTCTGTGTAATAACCAAATAAACCAAAGTTCTACATTTGAAAGATTATTTAACATTATGAACGAAGTGTTTTCATAGGTTTCAAAATAGAAACACTAGAGAGGTTGCGGCCGACGTTTTCAACGCAAAAACGTGTACTTTGGACGTTCAGCGACGTCTTCCTGTAAGTCTAGAAGTTTGATAATGGCGTTTGGAACGTCAGTGGAATCATGTTCGACGTTCCAAGCGCCATTGTCAAACTTCTAGACTTACAGGAACGCGGCGCTGAACGTCCGACCTACACGTTTTCGCGTTGAAGACTTCGGCCGCAGCCTCTGTATTCAGGCAACTTCACAGACTTGCTTTTCCCTATAGTGAGAAGGTAGAGAAATACGAGAAAATTTGTGAGCGGCCGTATAAATTATGAGGAGTCTTAAATGTAAATTCTTATTCTTTGTTACCTTATTTACTTTACACACATTACATAATATGCTTTGAAATTTACATTTAAAAACATCCATTTTTACCTTCCTGGCTGTTGTGTATAACAGAGCAAAAGTGTGGCGATCGGTCAAAAACGACCCCCCGAAGTTTTTTTTACATTTTTGGACTTAGGACACATTGAAGCGTCAAGAAATGCAAAAAATTCGGAGGTAATTTTTGTGTGTCTGGATGTTAGTGTGTGCGGGGGAGGGGTCACGATTTTGTTAACCCACTTTGAAGCTTAATAACTCCTGTGTATATGTAAGAACAAAACCAGTTGCTCAACTTTCCAGGCAACATTTAAAATTTCGGTGGCGCCATCTGTTATCATATTTTACTAAAAAAAATTGTTTAATACTTTAACTATTATAAAGTGGCAAAAGGCTCAATTTTGAGAAGAGGGACATGTTTTATATTTAAAAAAATTGTAAATGCTAATAACCAGTAAAATCGTCATTAAGTCCGACTTTACTGGAGATACACACGACCCCCTTTATCTCCCCATCCCCTCGACCTTTAACCATCAAAATTTAATGGACTGGTCGGTAGTGAGGTCGGGACCCGAAAAATTTCTGGGATTTTCGTCCCGTTCAAAATCGATCCTGGATTCCCCAAAGCGCTAGGCTGCCGCCTTAGCCGCTTAACCGCCATTGGGTCCAAAATATCATCGTCATTAACATTTGTATTTTTATAATATTATACATACCCAACCATAGTTATTAATTTATCCGTTTCCGAAACTGACAAATCTAATTTGTTGTATTTTTAAGCCTTTGTTTTCGCTCGGCTCATTGCAAATTTTCTTTTTTTACTGAATGAAGATGTCGGAGTGGTTCCGGAGGAGGTTCCGATGAAAGAAGGCGGTTGCGCAGGGAGGGGTTCCTCAGACGGCGCGAGAACGAGTCTGTGGGACTCTTACCAAACCAGAAGAGAGGCTGGAAGACCGGGGGTTCGAGCGTGTCTCTTGTCAATCGATTAGTTTGGTGTTGGAAGAGGCCTTGGAGAGACAGGCACCGGGTGACGACCTGGACCAAGTGCGTGTGAGGTGGCAGTCTCCCGGCGTCGGGAGGCTGCGACGTTACACTCTAGGTCCGTTGCACTCGGCCAAGGTGTTCGGGGATCATCCGCCACAGACCTTGTCACTTCCTGTTTTGTCGCGTTCTACCTGTTCATCTGCCACGGGGACGCCACTGCCTTGCGAAAGTCGAAACGGGGAGGAATGGGAGGAGAGAGCTGCGGTGTTGTCTGTGGTTTTGTAGCTGCTGAGGGCTGCGGTTGCCTTGGCCTAAGCGGTGATCCTCTTCGATTTTCCCCGACTCGTCTTTCTTCACCCGGATGTGACATTCTTACTGTATTAGACACTTGTCATCCGGACTCGACACCTTTTCCCGGACACCTTTTCACTCTTACCCTTGTCTATCTTTTGTGATCGCGGACTTATCTCCCGAACGTGACACTCGGTCGACGGTGACAAATTTGACTCCCGATAATGACCACCCGGACGTGACGCGTTTACTCACCGGACCCGACATTCAACCCACCTTTCTTCCCAAACAGCTGTTACGGGAATTAAACTTTCGGTTAGGTTAAATAAATATTATTTCAAAGAAATTATGGTTTAGTATAAACCATATAGTAATTCAAAGTTTAATGAGTTGGTTTGACCACACAGTATAAATTTGATTTGAAGAAAGACACCTTTTTAATATTATTATACGATATAAATTTTAAAAATTATATTTTTATAGATTTCACATTAACAATGTGATAAAATGGATGAAATAATTGAATATAATATCAATAATAGGAAGAAAATATATTTGGTATATCAATGAACATTCTGTATGGTCAGTATTCTGTTTTATACGAATTCCATGTTGTACGAGTCACTTAAATTTTACAAATACGTGTGGCGGGATGTGAACGGCTCACGTATTTGTAAAATCTAAGTGATCGTACAACATGGAATTCATATAAAACGGAATTATCAACAGTGTTATAGGGGGGTCGACTGTAATTAGAAAGAATATATTAAACTTTGTCTTATTGTTAAAATAAAATTAATTTAATTTAAATTTCTAATTAGAAAATTTGTCTTACCAATAGGCTGCCCATGCGATTTTTCTACATTTGTGCACACCCCTAAATAGAGCCAGTATTGCACAGAAAATCCTCCCGGTAGTCATTGGTCGTGTGTCACGTTGCTGTATTCCATCAAACCAAACTGAAACTAAAGTGATTCAGAGGAATCTAAGTAACTTTATTAGAATGCAATCAGAAAGTGGAGATAAAAATTTATCGTTTCACTTAACAATTACATATAATAATTTCACTATTATTTTAAAATTTAAATAGAACAATATATTCTATCAAATGAATAAAATGTACTCGTGCTTTTATAAATGTTTATTATTCATGCTAAAATTTATACAAGGTGAAGTAAAATGCAAATATTGAATTAAAAACATTGCAAAATATCAGTATTTTATAAATAATTTCACATAATTGTAAATTTATTAAACAGATCTTTGCTGTTACTCTGTGTGTGGTATTTCATACCAATCAAACGTTATAAATAACAGTTGGCTATTTGTTTAAAGCTAAGTTATCAAACTCAGTTAAATTGCATTCTTATAATCTGTCCATAGTTGTAACTATTATAGATTTTTTTTTCTTATATAAAAATTTAATGCAAGAAAACGATCGTATTCAAAAGACATATCGACTTCAGAACTTTTAATTTGCTTGGATCCATAATTTCTTTAGTCTTACTGGACTGCATGTTCCATTTGTCATCTTGATAATTTGCCAATTCTTCTACCTATTCAATAAAATTTAAAAAATTTGCAATGAACATTAAAACATAATGTAAACAAAATTAGACAGGAAAAAAAAATACAAGTAATCATTTTATTTTCTTCTGAAATTGTCACTGAATTGAAGCCACACAACAACGGTAAAAAATTATAGTGGTAAAATGACACACAAATTTGAATTTTGAAATTACGTAACTTGGCGAATTAGTAATCCACAACTACTGAAAGGATTCTAGAGGCCGGATGGCCGAGTGGTCAAGGTGGCAGCCTACCGATCTGGAGGACCCGGTATCAAACCCAAATGAGTCAAAAAATCCCCAGGAGTGTGGACCGTTCAAATTTGTTCAGCCCCGTCCATCACCACCTAGATGCCCCATTGTGGGCCTGGCCAAACCCATAATGGGTCTACTAAAAAAAAGGATACCTTCTTAGTGCCCTCAGGATAGAGAGAGTTAAAGAAAAAAAAAACTAAAGGGGTTCTCTACACTAACAAAGACAATCCGAGCAAAAGTACTCTTCGAAGCTTAATGAGAATGTGCACTATTTACAGCTGGAGAACAGTCTTTATTTATTTTAAATGCTGGAGAACAGTCTTTACTAAGTACAATTGTAACTGAACAGTTGAGCTTTAACGTAGTGTCATTAAACTACGTTAAAGCTCAAGTGTTCAGTTATAATTGTACTTAGTAAAGACTGTTGTCCAGCATTTAAATAAAATATACTTTATCTTTAAACTCTGACTTATAGTTCAAATAAATGACACGCTGTCAAAGTATGGAAAGAATTTGTCATTCTAAAAATTTTACTGCAATGCTTACTTTGAGAGTACAAAAAGTTTCCAAAGAAAATGAACTCAATTTAGATCAAGCTTATTTTATTTGGACTATCCAATACACTTTCAATGTTTCAACGTTGTTAATTAAGCAACCTCATTTTCTCTCAACTTTATTTTTATGTACTTTTTGCATATTTTATCACATTAAATAGTAACTAGTACTTTATTAATTAATAGTAATAAACAACTAGAGGTCTGTTTGAGATGACGAACTCTATTATGACGACAAATCCAATATGGCTGCCACAGGTTACACAGAAATCATGAAAGGATGTCAAGTTAGTACTGCTGAGTAACTCTATTGTGAAAAATGCCCACGAAAAATTAGAATATGCAGAGAAAAAAAATCACTTCTACCTCTGTGATGCTAGTTAAAAGCACTAAATTTAAAAGTTTATAAAAATTGCAAGCAATGTAGTTACTTCAATGTTACCAATGGGGATATTATCTCGAGAGTGGCAATGGAACATTATGATTTGAGGAAAAAGTAAAAAACGACGACACGCCACCGAAAGAATTCCACAATATTTATTTATTTACTACTGGCTATAGACAGACTTTGACACCATCCCGCGACTGGCAAGAGAACTTCAGAATCCATGCAAAATTTAAATTTTAGACGTATGGTTCTTCCTAAGTTTTATATATGCAAGAGAGCTCTTGTATCAAATACAAAAGATTTCTTTACCTTTTCTATTCACTTTACGATCCTCAAAGCTTCTCTTCTGGAAGACAGTTCGTTGCAGTAACCGTTGCTGCTCTTGTGCTTCCCTGTGCATTCCCTTCGAGATGAATCTGATCAGTTGTTTTTTGATTATTCTCGTCGCTTTGTCGAACCCAATTGTTCTATAAAAAGTTATTATTATTAACAAAAACAAAATTAAAATAATAAGCAAAAGATAAAACACCATAAATGTGGCTAAGAATCAAAATTTAAATTTCGTACCTCTTTAAGTTCAATTACATCTTGTAACATAATTGTGACTCTTGAACTAGTCGTTCTTCTAACTACAATCTCTTTCATTGATTCAATGTACGAGTTCATCTGTAACTTTATTTAATCATTATTATATAGATTGGAATTTACTATTAGCATCCATATGAAAAAAGAGAAAACAAAATGTCTGATTTCTAATGTACGTGTCAACTGTCTTACTGTGAACACTACGAAAGTGCTCAACAATTACACAGCATTTACTATAAAAATAACTAATTTTACAAGTTGGACAAATATTCTTGGTACATACCTAATGATTGCATTAATGTCATAGGAATTGTGATCAACATTAAAGTTGAAAATGCACCCTTAGTCACTATTTGTTTTGTGCTTTTCCATTTTGGCTTCGATTTTGAGGAAATTGGAAGCAGTGTATTTTGTACCAAGCAATGTAATAGAATTGTTACTAATTCACGGGACTATATTTTATATTATACATTAAATGAACTTGTTAACATTAAAATACTTCTCATCTAGACTGCAAATCACTTTTATTACATTTAGTTTTTGTGAAATCTGCATTAATGAAGAGGGTTTTCGTGTAAAGGCTGGTACACACTAGTTGCTATAATGCTATACCATGTAGCAAATTCAATGCAGCATTGAACAAATGAAACCTTGCACAGTGCATATAATTTATAAGCACACTATAAGCTGTGTATGGGACTTTTGCAGTGTTAGTGATATATATTGTAACATGAAATTATTTGGAAATAAATGATTACATTTACAATTTCTGAAGTTGAATACTTTGAAAAAACAAACAGAACATCAATTTCTTTTGATATGACAAATATTCACAAGAATCTAAGCATCCGATGAAGGAAAAATAACAATGCATCATCAAAAATTAAATACAGTCGACCCCCCTATAACATTGTTGATTATTCCGTTTTATATGAATTCCGTGTTGTACGAGTCACTTAGATTTTACAAATACGTGTGCCGGACTGTAAACGGTTCACGTATTTGTAAAATCTAAGTGACTCGTACAACACGGAATTCATATAAAAAGGAATAATCAACAGTGTTATAGGGGGGGGTCGACTGTAAAGTTATCCATTATCGAAATATCATTTTAGACTTAAAATGAAAATGTAAAAAGACTAACCAATGAACTTGATTTTTTAGTATCAGATGTCTTCTTCTCGGTTTCAAGTTCCTTTCCAATTGTCTTAAGAAGTAGACATAAACATTCTAATGAATGTTCGTCGCCACGCAGTAGCAATTTTTTCAGACAATCATGCATAATTGATGTAGTTACCATATGAAGTAGAAACAGTTCTCCAATAAATCTAAAAATGACAAGGGCACCAATTATAAACGATAAATTTTCCGAAAATATTATAATTATTACGAAAGATTAAGTAAGATTGACACAGCCACTACAGAAAACAATAAATAAACACAGTAAACTCCACTTACTGTAATCACTAGTATGTCTATTATTCATTAATATTACTGTATCAGAAGTAGAAACTTATCACAGTTCGGTTATTGTTATCACAATCTTCATGGTAATTAGAAGAAACTGTTTTTTTTGCACTAAGCATCAACGTTTGGATAACAAAGTACAATCATTATCACTTTTAACTGATGTTTTAAAAGTTAAACATTTCAACTAATCATTGTTAACAATACAATACAGTCGACCCCCCTAAAACGCTGTTGATTATTCCGTTTTATATGAATTCCATGTTGTATGAGTCACTTAGATTTTACAAATACGTAAGATGTTGACAGTCCGGCATACGTATTTGTAAAATCTAAGTGACTCGTACAACATGGAATTCATATAAAAACGGAAAAATCAACAGCGTTATAGGGGGATCGACTGTACACAATTGGTTCTGAGTGTGTCATCATTAATTCAGTATGGTGAGTAGTTATTTATCAGTTATTTAAATGTTATCTATTCGAGCAATTCCAAAATGATAACAATAAGCAGGTTCTACTCCACAAGTTTAACAGTAGAAATTAACATTTTTGATATTACATTTATTCAAAAAATATATTTGGAATCAAAACATAAGTAAATAGCAAAATTGCATCCCAAAGCTTAATTTTCAAGACATCTCTTATCAAAAATACCTTACAGAAGTAATAAGAAATGTACTACTAAGTGTACTCTGATATAGATTGTCTCGTATTATTAACAAAGTTTACATATTTTCAAATATATAACATGGTTTATACATATATATTTATACCTATGACTGCACTAAGCTTCCTCTGTACGAGCATAACAATAGAAGTCAGTGTAAAAAGGATTATCGTAAAATGTAATTTGCATTAATAATATGACAAAATATTAATAAATATATAAAAATTACTTTATGTTTCTCAGCGATCGATGCTTCGATTTTCTTTCCTCCTCTTCCAGCTCTTCTCTAAGCTGTTTCTTCTTTTCCTCCTGAAGGATCAGAATTCAATTATTTACAATTGATTATTCCGTTTTATATGAATTCCATGATGTACGAGTCACTTAGATTTTACAAATACGAGAGCCGTTCACAGCCTGGCACACGTATTTGTAAAATCTAAGTGACTCGTACAACATGGAATTCATATAAAACGGAATAATCAACAGTGTTATAGGGGGGGTCGACTGTAAATAGTTACTTACAGTTTCTGCATTTTCAATCAGCTGAAGTCTCTTCTTGTAATTAATTTCGTTGTTTTTATCTTTCTCAAATTCGGCCTTACATTTACTCAGCAAAGCTTTCTTGAAGTTTGTAGATTTCTCATTGCCAGTATTTACATTGAGTTTTGACTAAAATTTCAAACAATTTATTAATAAAAATATAGAATTTTTAAAAAGTAAAATGTATTTAACAGGAGTAATTATAATATACATATTAATAAAGCAGAAAATAATATTAACTCAGTTAATTGGGGAGGTTCCAAAGTATTTTTAATGTAAAATGTGTAATACAGTACATTAATTTTATAGTATCATTTTTAAACCCCTTTAATTCAATGTTTGTAAGGCTTCCTATAATGGCAACAGCTTCGTGAGGGCTTCACTATGAAGGGAAAGGGAAGAGGTCAAGAAGTCGTCCCAGAAAAAGGTGGATAGATGGGGTCACTGGAGATCTTGAAGACTTCAGAGGCAGGCTAAAGACCGAACGAGATGGAAAAGGATTGTGACTGCAGTTAAGACCTCCAAGGCCCATAATGCAAGACGAAGAAGAATTCAATTGTTAAACTTAACATAACCCTTCTTATATACACATATTGCTGTTAATTATATTCGAAAATTTTCATTTGTACAAAGAAAACTATACGTATCCACATTAAATTTACAAATCAAAGTTAATTCATTTCTTTGGGGAACATTTAAATACTAAAATTTACAAAGTAGAGAACTATTTATAAATAAAATCATTCTAAATGATTTAAATATTAAAATAAATTAATTCTTACAATTGCAATATGTTTACACATATTTGCACAAGAAACACTAGAATTTGGATCATCAAATGCCTTCTCTAAAATAAGATTAACGACACATTTCAGTCTTTCTTCATTATCTATTGGTAATTGCTTCACTTGTTTTACTAGTGTCTGGAAGTTTTGTGGAGTTAACTTATTTAAAATTTCTCTTAGTTTCTTCTCTAATTCCTGTTTAAAAAAGTAAAAAAAACTTATTATAAAATGATTAACCAAATTTTTTTATGGTTGAATTTACCCTAGGTAGCCAAGATGGCGGCTTATCTCTGATTCCAGCAAACAAAAGAAAGGAAACAGTGGGGACGCACGTTCTAACCTAACCTAACCTATTCTAATAAATTACCATAATTATTACTAACCAAATTATTAGAATAGGTTAGGTTAGGTTAGGTTAGAACGTGCCTCCCCACTGTTTCCTTTCTTTTGTTTGCTGGAATCAGAGATAAGCCGCCATCTTGGCTACCTAAGGTAAATCTAACCTTTTTTATTTGTCATAACCGGGTCTTTGTTTATTTCAGAATTAAAATAATTTATCTGACCATTTTGTCCTTCATACAAAAGAATTATTTGTAAATTAAAAGAGGAGGATTATTTTTTTTCGTATGTAATTTTTACAAAATAAAAATCTGGACAAAAAATTTATTTGAAATATTAACAAAACCAATGCAAAAATGTCTAGTGTCTTCCCTTTCGTCTTCTTCATACCACAGAAACAGGAGGCACAGCAGTGTCCGAGACATTCTTAAAAGGTAAGCTGCATGACTGTTGCTCATATAATGTAAAAAAAGGACAAAAGGGATGCTAAACATTTTCTGTATTGTTTTATATACAAATATTTCAAGTTATTATGTATGAATTTAAAAACTTTAATAATAGAAACTTCACTGAAATTATTCTGATCATATTAATTGTATATAAATGATGCAATTCTTATCCTTTTTTCACATCAAAATAGCCAAATAACTGAAAATAATAAAGATCAATTGAGATCAATATTTTCCACTGTGTATGTGTATGTACTGTACACACATACACACACGCTTCAAACAAAAAAACAAACACTAGATTATTTACTTGAGTTTTCTGTCTGTCATCATCATCATCATCATCAATTTCCTTTTTAACATGTGGCTTCGAAGCATTGCCACATTTATCACGACGTTGTCGACCCTGTCTTCTTCCAGTTCCTTCAGAAGGCTAACAAAAGAATTTTAATGTATAATAAATAGTGACAATAAAATGCTATTAACAGTGATTAACCCTCCTACTACAAGGCAGGATCCGACACGTCTTGTTTCTTTTCGTTTGCACAGGAAACAATGCTATTGTTGGGGGTTGTGACCATAAATTACCCTATGAGGCAGTAGTTCTGAAGACAGCGGCGTGGAAAAATAAGTCGTCGACCTTTAATTTTTTTCATAATTTAGGTACTATTAGAGCACACTCTGCTTCGGTGTCGGATACGACACCCCCTTGTGATGTACTCTTCTTTCATCATGTAGCAAAAGCCTAAAGAGCTATTTCTTGATTATCTACCATTGTTTGGCAAATTACTATAGCAGAATATCAAATGTTTACTACGGACGAAGGAATCCATCAAGAATTGTTACGGTAATTTATGTTCGTAATCAGAATTCTTCAAAATTTCTGTATGATGATCTGAAGATGCTTGCTTCTTTCTGTCCGAAGAAAAATAAAACTGGTCCTCATATCATCCATGCATTACACTGGCGAAATTGACCAAACAACTGAAAAACTACCGTAGTTGAATTTTATAATATGACTAAAGGGGCGTGGATGTTTTTGATAAGTTATGTCATGCAAAATCTCTCAAAAGAATGGCCTATGCCAGTGGTTCCCAATTAGTGGTACGCGTACCCCTGGGGGTACGCGAAATTGCGTGAAGGGGTACGCACGGTAATCTAAAATCGGTCGATTTAAAATTTAAATGCATGAGATAAAGCAATCAAATAAATAACATAGGTCTTCAAAAATTTTTTTTCCAGCTGCATGGAATATTTTTGCTGAATTATATGTTTTAAAAATCACAGATTCTAAAACTAACTTCCATTACATCCCATCATGTAAAGGTTTTTGCAAAATATAAAGAAATTTTTGATAAAACTCTTATAATACATAAATATTTTCTTACAACTACTCAACAAATTGTTTCTGATATTTATACACAATTTTAGGTCTACTCTTTTTTCTTACGAAACCTTTTCTTCTTCTTTTTGATGCTTTTCCAAACTCGTTTCCGATTTCTTTCTCTGGTTTCTCGATTGAGCATTCAACAGTAGTCAGCTAACGTATTGACATCCAATTTTCCTTTTAACGTCTCTCGATATTACGAACATCCTGGTGAAATCTTTTATCCTGTTCTTCATTGTAGGCTCCTAAGTTTTCGGGAAAATAATCAATATGGGAGTGTAAGAAATGAACTTTTGAGCTATCTCGCATCCTCTAAATTCGTACGCTGCTGCCAGCATGCGTTGTACAATGGTTTGTAGTCAGGGTCCTTAGTATTCCCCAAAAACTTATGCACTACATTCTTGAAAGAGTCCCATGCTTCTTTTTCGTTTTCTCCTATTGTTTCCAGAAATCTGCTTTGTTTCCAAGTTTCAATTTGAAATATGCAAATTAAACTTTCTTCACAAACTTCACTTATGTTTCTTTGTCGACCTTTCACTGTGTATTCACCACAAACATAACAGAAGCTGTCGGGAGAAATTCTGCAAGCCATATTCCAGAAATAAAAATACAAGCACAGTAGCGTTCAAATGCTGGATATAAACTGAGTGTGGCATTAGATGGCCAGCGAGATACTAAAGTTATTTAGCTTGTTGAAACACGATCTAATCCAACAACGAGTTGTTTATATTTATTCCTATTATCCCAGAAAGCATGTCGAAACATGCTCAACCTCACCAATAATATTACTCACTATCAACTTTTGACCTGTTTCTATACGATCATGCGACCTTCCTCCTAACGCTAAAACTACTTAACCCAGTTCCCCCTACCACTACTCTCTTCAATCATTAACATTTTTATTTATTTATTACCAAGTCCAGTTATAATTGATAGAATTAATGTGAGAAGTCTTCGTTTTAAGGCTATTTTTTGAATAAAAAGAAAAGAATAGTAAATTTTAAGTTAACAATGAATTTTACGCTAAATACAAACAAAAACTTTAGTGTAACAAATAAATTGACGAAATGGAATTTTTTTCGTTTTACCCACGGCTTCGCCCGCGTTATATCGAATTTTCTCGTGGGAGTAAGATATTTTCTCGCAGTAAAATGTAGCCTATATCCATCTCCAACGTGTAAGCTATCTCCGTGCCATATTTTATTAAAACCTGTTCGGCGGTTTAGACGTGAAAATGTAACAGACAGACAGACAGAATTATCTTCGAATTTATATTAGTATGGATTAATATTAATTTCTGCTATAAGGGGTACGCCAGTTTGAACTCTTTCTTGAAGTGGTACGCAGGAAAAAGTAATTGGGAACCACTGGCCTATGCGATACTTCTAGGGCATTTTAGATGCAGCAGCAGTAAATGCCTATGCAATCTACAAGTTAAATATGGCACAAGAACATAGAAGCAACACCTGTCGGGCTGAGTTTTTGAAGAAACTTTCTTTTTCACTGGTTACATCACACATGAAGGAAAGGATGACATATCCTTACATTAGTAAAACATTGATAGAAGAAATGTGAAACATCCTAGGAATAGAAATGCCCGAAGATGCATCATCACTAAATCCATCCACATCGGCAAGACCACGAAAATGTTCTTTTTGTGGATGGAAAAAGAATCGAAGATGGAATCACCTATGTACAGTACCAACTGCAAGAAAAGTATTTGCGGTGAACATAAGAAAGTGACTTGTCTTTTATGCATATGATTAAATGAATAGAAATAAAATATTTGTTCCTAATTAAACACAATTTTGTACGTTTTGTAAATATACATATTTACTTTAACGTGTATTTATTTATTTAATCCAAACGAACCCGATTTATCAGGGGAAAAACAGATGTTTTGGCCTACTGTCGTATACGACACAGCCTTGTGACACGTGTCCTGATAGTCCATCTTGTGGCAGGAGGGTTAACTAAATAAAACTATTAAAGTTGTAATAAACACAATCTACAATTTAAATATTCTTTTTGCTATCTAACTTGTCAGAAATCTAGTAAAATTTCAAAAAAAAAAAAAAAAAACTAACTACAGAGATGGAAAAGTCTCTTTGTCGAATACATAAAAAGTTATTATAGTAGAGCGTCGATTATCCGAATCAATCGGGACTGGGGTCGTTCGGAAGATCGATGTTTCGGATAACCGATTATGTACGAAAAAATGTTAATTTATCCCATCTTGACATTTTTCTCCGTTGCGTGTCGCTTCGCGTTGAATTTTCGTCGACGTTAAGCCTAACGAAGACTATTGTATCGTTAAAAATTATTTTTTTATTATGTACTAACAAAATAAATATATTGAAAAATATAAAAACAATAAAAGATTATACTTTAGAAATTAATTTAGTATCAAAAACGTAAAATATTTGAGTAGCCCAGGACATAGCCAAAGATTGCAGCGCCACGGCACTGGCGAAAATTTAAATTTGCCGACTAAATTCTTTCGGATAATTGACGTTTCGGGTGATTGGCTTTCGGATAATCGATGCTCTACTGTATTATTAAAAACAAAATTAAAATAATAAGCAAAAGATAAAACCATAAATGTGGCTAAGAATAAAAATTTAAATTTCATACCTCTTTAAGTTCAATTACATCTTGTAACATAATTGTGACTCTTGAATTACTCGTCTTTCTACCTACAATATCTTTCGTTGATTCAATGTACGAGTTTATCTGTAATTTTATTTAAACCAGTTATTATATAGATTGGAACTCGCTATTATTATGACAAAGGTTACATAAATTATCTTCAGTTGAAAGTTATCTAAAGTATTTTAGATATAAATTAGTTATTTGAAAACTTACCTGATTAAAAACCAATTGATTTTTGAAATTAACTAATTAACAACTATTTTTTTTAATATATAAGTTTAGTTAAACGTAAAAAATACTTAAAACTTAAAAAGAACGAAATAAATGCGTTAATTTCAAAGAGAAAGCTTCGAAGGTTATGGTCCTACGTATCGTGTGGGTGAGAAACTTGACACTTGCTCTTTATCTTGTTTATAACCGGTTGACCTTGAGAACAGCTATGCGAGTTATTCCCGGGACGTTTACATACACTCTTTAGAGTAAGACCGGTTTAACTACCTCGCCTCTATACTAATATTATAAAGAGGTAAAGTTTGTAAGTTTGGATGTAGGAGGTAATCTCCGAAAGTATTCATCCGATTTGAAACATTCTTTCACTAATAGAGAGGTTGCGGCCGACGTTTTCAATGCAAAAACTTGTACGTCGGACGTTCAGCGCCGCTTTCCTGTGAGCCTAGAAGTTTAACAATGGCGTTTGGAACGTCGAGCAGGATTTGGCCAAACTGACTGGGCTCACAGGAAGGCGGCGCTGAACGTCCGACGTACAAGTTTTTGCATTGAAAACGTCGGCCGCAACCTCTCTAATATTTAGAATGGACCTTCAGGGTGGACACGGGCTGTATATTATTCCGTTAAACATTCATATAAATTAAAGGATATCATCTAGGTAAGGGTTATATTTTTGGTGTCAATGAGTGGCGAGGGGCAAGACGCATACTCATACGATATAGGTAACCGCGCGGCGCAGTCGAGTGGTCGGCGAGATACGTAGTGCATGTGTCCGAACTTGTAGTAGCGAGGTTGCGGCCGAAGGTTTCATCTCTGAAACGTAAACGTCGAACGTCGAGCGCCGCTATCATGTAAGCGGCGCTCGACGTTCGACGTTCACGTTTTAAAGATGAAAACTTCGGCCGCAACCTCGCTAGTATATAAAGTTGACACGGGGAACGCATGCACATAAGTTCGCTTTATTCGAACTCTTAGTCTTAATGTTCGATTTTATGTTCGAATTTATATTTATGAATGATTCGAGAAGATCCAACTTATTTTTCGAATTTAGTAAACTACAGGGTGTTTATAAATGAATGGTGCGGTTTTAAAAATTAATAATAAATCTATTTATTACCATATATAGGCAAACCTTACAGCATAAGCAGCGGCAACTGTCCAAGTTTTTTATGCATTAATCACAATCCTTCAATATGTGCACCCATGGTCACACAACACACATCTACATGGTAATCAAATTCTTCCCATAAGCGGTGTAGCGTGTCCTCCGTAATGGTCTGCAGTGCATGCTTTATCCGATCACACAGTTTCTCAAGGGATACGGGCACTGACGATACATAAACTCGGTCAATGCCCGAGATTAAGGTAATAAATAGATTTATTATTAGTTTTTAAAACCGCACCATTCATTTATAAACACTCTGTAGAAGAAGAACCCAGAAGGGTTAATCATTGCTATCGTTTTTGTTCGAGCAACGCCGGGCTCATCTGCTAGTTTCTAAATATTTTACAAAATTTCCGATTTTTATTGCGATTTCCGTCTCCCATATTCAACTAAACGTATATATAATAAAATCTATTACAGTATACCCCTATAAAACGGGTTCATATAGTTCGGATTCCTATATGATGGCGAAAAAATTGCGACCGTATTCGTATAAACACGCTAAAAGAGACTCGTATATTTCGGTAAAACGTCATCGCCGACTCGTGTCGCGACAGGATTGGTCGAATCTAGACCAATAGCGGATATTGCAAAAACCGTTGAGTTTAAACGAACAGCGGACCTAATAAAAACCATTTATTATTTAACGGCCATAAAAATTATATTTACATTATTAATGATGTCTCCAAAGTTCAGCGAATTTTTCGCAGAAAAATGATTTATCAGAAAACATTCCCGCTGTTCGATGCCCGCGGGGTTATTAAAATAGTTGGCAACACTGTTAGCGATTACTTACACGTGGATAATTCACGTGTGATTGTCAATGTTTTCGTGTTAGTTTATCGTCCAGTTTTAATCGTTTATGTCATGTCCATAGCTCAACAAGTTAGTTTAATTATTATTATTTACGCATTTATATCCATAATGTAAACATTAAAGTTAATTTTAATTTAGATTAATTATAATTATCACTGATCATTGTTGAAAACATCTACTGATAAATGTAACAGAATACGGGAAAAGAAAGAAGAATGCAGCTAATAAGTGATAGGTGAAGACTTGAAAAGATTATTTTTTTTTCTTTCTGCCCTTTGGGTGCCAAAAGGGGCAATTTAGGCAGAGTTATAGACCAAGTTAGGATTGGATAATCCCTTCAGGTGATATGTGATAATACTGGTGGTGGAGTGTGTCACCTGTTAGCAGTCAACATCTATGGATGCATTGCCTGGTAAAGTGGCTTTAATACAGCCAGATAGGAAAGTCAATGATATAGACAGTTTCATTTGAAATGGGCCACACTAATTGGGTTGTGTATCCAGTTGTATTAAAGTCACTTAACGAGGCATTGTGCACTATGAAAGGCATCGTTTTCTGGGCTAAAAAACACATGGCAGACAAGAGGGTTGATGTATTAATTTTATATTTGTTTGAAAAGTGTTTGAAAGAAGATGAAGGCACTATTTCTGATGATTTCTATTTTGATGTTAACACCTTTACATTCTTCTCACCCAAGTAAAATGTTTTTTGTTCATGGATAGTGCTTGGTGGAAAGCAGAATATATCACATACATTAATAATAATAATTTATTTATTTATTATTAATCTCTGTTGTGTGTCTGCAGAATATGAGTTTACATTTCCTCAAAACTGTTGCATATGCAGAACATTTGGAAAACAACAATCTTAACATGGTGAATGTTAAGATTTTGGAGACTCTGCCTCAGTGCTAGAGATCAGTCTATATGGGTTATATTGGATCATGACTACATAATATCATCAACTCCACTGAATCTTGTGGGATGTCCTTCAAAAAGGATGATCCAGCCCTCAGATGACTCAGTTAAAATGATCTTCAATGCTAAAGGCACCTTTAATCTTATTCATTGTATGTTCAGTTTGGCCTACAAAAGGGATGGCCCGGTGATAAAGAACAGGGCCTGATGTATCTGGGTCAGACCATCCCTCAAAATATTCAACTACAAACCTTAAAAGCCCAATATTTTGGATCTGGTGTCATTCTATAAAGATCATATCTACATTATGTCAAAATGTAGCAATTCTAGAATAAACAACCAAGTTTCTCTTTCAGTTTCAGCACAAAACAAAGCCATGATTAAGCAATGCTTGAAATTATATAGTATGTGTCAATGACCCAAGACTCCATTAAAATATAGTTTTTCATTCTGACTACACAATTGAAATAATTAAATATATTCAGTTAAAACATATCCATAAGAAAACTTGGTAATTGATCACAATGAATGTATTAAGATAATGACTAAGGTTGGTTGGTTTGTTGGTAAGGACCACATAGACCAAGCTGCGACATGTAATGACTAAGTGTAGCATGTATACAATANAAACAAGCTTAAGCAATGGCGACGTCGAACGGTGCACACTCGGTAAGTAATCCTACGATTTTTTGTTTATAGCATAGTTTATACGATTATTCCCAAAAAATTATACGTATTTTGGAAATGTTGAGTCGAATTAGTCTAGAATCGATTAATTTTATGGAAGAAAATCTTTCAAACAGCAGTAGTTTGTAAACTGCATACGTGCCGGGCTGTGGTTGGCTCATGTATTTAAGGACTCGTAGAACATCAATTTCACAAAGAACGGAACGTATCTACCGTGTTATAGGGGGGTCGACTGTACCAAACTGCAATGAAAAAATTCAAGAGTAATTTTTGTATATGTGTGTGTTAGTGTGTGTGGGTGCACGATCTTGTTCACCTTCTTTGAAACTTAATTACTCCTGTGATTTTGGTCGAAAATTTCTGAAATTTTGCAGGGTGGTGAAAGTACTAGAGGGATCGACGCTATTAATGATTCGGCCAGCCCATTGTGGGTCTGGCCGAATCAGTAATGAGCTTGCTAGAAACGATCTTCGTAGAATTGTAGTGGCCACAGGACAGAAAAAGTTTTTCAAAAGATATTTTGACGTCATTGAAAAGTGTAATTTAAGATTTGAGAATTTTTTTGTATTAATGCTAGTACTGTGTACTAGAAAGAAAGTATAAAAANCTGATACCAGGTATTTCTTGCATATTTAGGTGTAGCTTCATAAATAATGCTCTGTTAATTTGAATTGAAATATTAGATAATAATAAATGCATAAAACTGGAATGTAACAATTTACTAATCATTCAAGCATGCATATGAATCTTATGAGTTCAGGTCAATATTTGTTGGAGACAAATGTTTGTCCACAATAAAATTATCAGATTATGTGAGAGAGTTTGCAAACCATTAAATAAAAGATTTTGTTCTTTGAAACACACTTAAAATTTTAAGTTCAAGTATTTTAAAAAGGGCAGTCTCTTCTCACATTTCTAACTTCCAATGCAATTCTTTAAATCTAGATCAAAACTTTCCAAAAATTCAGTTATGTTACATGTCCCTTGTCTAGTTGAATTCTTACAGTCTAACATACTAATAACTCTATATTTTAAGTAAAAAAGTTTATGAATGATAATAATTGAACATTGATTATTTTGCGTAATATCAGTTGTAGCGTCGATTTGCAGCAAATAGAAAGTGGCCTCTAATTTCCCTTACTATTCTGTCTCTGATTATATGCTAAATTGCAAAAATTACATAATTAATGATAATTTGAAAGTAATGTTATAAGACCACCTCTACCTCATAGAGAAGTACCTAATTTTTCTTCGGTTTTGACTGGATTTTGTCACATTCTATAAATGTATTTTGAATACTGGGTCATATTTGGAAAGTAATAAAATTATCTCTAGAAAATTACAATTGCTTGCTTTGTCAATTTCTGAGCTCGAGTTATAAGTACTTTTAAACCTATGAAGCTCAAAAAGCCAATCCTATTTTACCAATTAACTTAATAACATTTATTACTCTTTCCATAATTTCTTTTCTTTTCCAGGCAATTTTCTGTTGCAATGTTGACACTTTAATAAATAATGTATTAAAGATGTCTCTATTTTTTAG